CACATTGTGAGTAATAAAACAATCAAAATATATTATTTTTGTTATAAAAAAAATTAACATCAATTAAATTTTAAGATTATCTTTAAATTTATTTTCAGAATTTTTTTAAAAAATATAATAGTTATTTCTGATCACACTTACCTATGTAGGCAGAAGAAGAGTTGAGTGTTGATGATTTTAAATAAAAAATAAACCATCAAAAATAGAATTTTTTTTAAATTTTCTTTTCACCACATAACACCAATTCTAAACAATTTCTGTGATGAAATACCCATAAGTTCTCAATTAAACAACTCTGTGAATCTGGGGCTGGCCTCTCCCATCCTACTGTACTGCACATCCTAATATCATTGCTGCTGAAGTAATTTAGATAAGTCTTTTTTTTTTTTTTTTCTAATTAACACTGAATTGGATCTATGTATCAGTAGAATGAAGAATAATAGAAATCTCACAGAAATAATCTTTAAACTGGCATCATATTTCTACTTAATCCATGTTTAACTTCATATTTTACAGGTACTGAAGAGGAAGATGAAGGAGATGATCTTTTGCTTCAGTCTGTGGATGAGTTCTGGTGGTTTCCTCACATGTGGAGCCACATGCAGCCCCACCTCTTCCACAATGAATCATCCTTAGTTGAGCAGATGATTCTCAACAAGGAATTTGCACTGGTAAGTACTTTCCTTTTTTTCCACAGAATTTTTCAAACTATGAGTGGTGATTCATCATTATTGTAGGGCTGCTGTCAAGTCAGTTCTGACTCATAGCAACCTTATGTACAACTGAACAAAATACTGTCCAGTCCTCACAATCATTTTTATTTCTGAGACCATTATTGCAGCCACTGTGTCAATCCATATCATTGATGTCCTTTTCCAGGGTTTGCTCTCTCCTTGATAATATGTTCAAAGTATGTGAGATAAGTTTCACCATCCTCACTTTAAAGATAAATAAATAAAATAATTGAGATTGGGTGAAAGTTTACAGAGCAAATTGGTTTTCCACCCAACAATCCATAAACATTTTATTTTGTGATATTCAGTGCAACCCCTATAATGCAAAAGCACTCATCCAACTTCCTGCAGACTCCTACCACTTCCATTCTTCCTTCCTTCCAATCTCCTCCCACATTCCTAACTCTATCCCTAGGCAAATGCTGCCCTCTTGAGCTTGGATGGTGTATGGTTGTAACGAGTGCATATGCTCCTGATACTACAGTTTACCTTATAGGCCTATCATTTGGAGCCATGAGGTTGGATTCTATTATAAACTTTAAGAGTGGCTTGTCCTTGTTGTTGTTATGTGCCATTGAGTCAGATCTGATTCATAGCAACCCCTCCTTGGGTTTCCAAGGCAGTATCACTACAGGAGTAGATTGCCCAACCTTACTTCCAAGGAGTGGCTGTTGTTGTTGTTGTTGTTGTTATGTGCCATCGAGTCGGCCCCGACTCATAGCGACCCCTCCTTGGGTTTCCGAGGCAGTTATCACTACGGAAGTAGGATTGCCCAACCTTCCTTCCGAGGAGTAGCTGGTGGGTTTGAACCGCCAGCCGTCTGGTTAGCAGGCAAGTGTCTTAGCCACTATGCTACCAGAGCTAGTGGATTTAAACCGCCAGCCTTCTGGTAAGTAGTCAAGTGCCTTAGGCACTATGCTACCAGAGCTCCCTAAAAGTGCCTAAGGACCATAATTTCAGGGGTTCCACCAGTCTTCAACATACTCTAAGCCTGGTCTTTTATAAGATTTTGTGTTTTGTCCCACTCTATCTGGGAATTCTTACTGTGATCCTTTTCAGAGCAGTTAGCAGTGGTAGTTGGACATCATCTAGTTCTGATCTCAGGGTCATGGAGGTTGATGTTTGTGTGGATCATTAGTTCTTTGTGCTAATTGTTTCCTTGTGTCTTTGATTTCTTTCATTCTTTATTAGGGAGAGGGAGAGACCAATTTTGCACCTTAGATGACTGTTAACATGCTTTTAATACCCCAGTCTCTACTCACCAAAGTAGAAAGTAGAACGTTGTCTTTGTGGACTATGCTATGCCAATTGACATTAGTGAACTCTGAAATTGTGATCCTGAGCCCCTATGCCCAGCAAGTCACTCCTTCATGGTATTTGGTTATGACTAAGAAGTTTTCATAACTTTGCCCCCTGTATGCTCTACTACATTCAACTATATATTTGCAGCACATATAAATATTTAAGTAAAGATAGCTTCTGTCAAATCTGTAGGTATTCATTGATATAGTCCCATTTTCTTTCCCACCCCTATTTAACATAATTGTCTATGTAGCCACTCACAGATTATTGTTATTAATGTTAGTGCAAGATTGTGTATGTAATAGCATTTATATTTGTTGCCTTTAATTCTTATGTTCCTCCCATGTCTTCCACTGACTAGATCATATTTATGTATATACATGTTTTTGTTGTTGTTAGATACCATCAAGTCAGCTCTGACTCATAGAGATCCTAAGTACAACAGAACAAAACACTGCCTGGCCCTGTGCCAGCTTCATGATCCTTGCTATAACTGTGTCCATTGCTGCAGCCACTCTGTCAATCCATCTTGTTGAGAGCCTTGCCCTCTTTTGTTGACCCTCCACTTTACCAAGCATGATATCCTTCCCCAGAGAATGGTCCCTTCTGACAACATGACCAAATTAGGTGAGATGAAGTCTGGCCATTCTCACTTCCAAGGAGCATTTTGGCTACACTTCTTCCAGGACAGATTTGTTCATTCTTTTGCTAGTCCATGGTACTTTCAGTATTCTACCCCAACATCATAACTCAAAAGCATGAACTCTTCTTCAATTTTCCTTTCCATTTACTTCACATGCTGCCCTTTTTGATATCTTCTGTTTGATTGTTCTAAGAAGTGCATACCTTCTTGGTGTTATTGGTCACCTCATAGTCTTTTGTTTTGCTGAGCTGCTAAGTTGAGCCATAGGAGTGAGTTCAGTTCTGGGACTGAAGGGTGACTATGTGCATAGTACCAGGGTCCCTTCCACCAGTATCTATCATACCAATAAAACCAAAAAAAAAAAAAAAAAAAAAAAACCACTGCCTTTGAGTAAGTTGTGACTCAGAGTGATCCCCATTGTGTTTTCAAGGCTATAAATCTTTAAGGAAGTAGATTGTCTCATCTTTTTCCCACAGAGCAGCTGGTGAGTTTGAACTGCTGACCTTAAGGTTAACAACTAAATATCTTACCCACTATGCCACCAGAGCTCCTTCAGACCAATAAGCCTGATCTTTTTTTATTATTATTTTGAAATTTGTTCCACATTTTTCTCCCATTCTGTCCAGGACCTCCAATTTTGATCCCTATCAGAGTGGTTGGCAGTAGTAGCAGGGTGACATCTAGTTCTTCTGGTTCCAGGGTGATGGAGGCTGAGCTTCACATGATCTACCGGACTCTTGAACTTATTGTTTCCATATGTCTTTGATTTTCTTAGTTCTTCTTTGCTCTGGACAAGAAGAGATGAATAGTTGCTTTAGATGGCTGATCGTTAAGTTTTTAAGACCCTAGTCAGTAATCAACAAAGTAGGATATAGAACAATGTCTTTGAGAACTGTTGTTGTTGATGTTGGATGCCACTGAGTTGGCTCCAATTAATAGGGACCCTGTCTATGTACAACAGAATGAAACACTGCTCAGTCCTGTGCTTTGTGAACTATGTGTTGCCAATTAATCTTGATATCCACTGCAACTATGGTCCTGAACTCCTAGGCCCAGCTACCCACTACTTCAAGGTGTTTGGTTATGACTAAATTTTCATATCTTTGGCCCATATGAGCTCTACTGTATACAAGGACATTTGTACAGCTCATACATACTGAATTCTATGTTGAATTGTCACTTTCCAAACACGTATGTGATAGTGGGTCCAGTCTCATTCACCTGTCCATCCCTGATCATCTTGCCCGTCTAACTATATATCCACTCATCCATTAATGTTTGTTATTGCTGATAATACAGAATTGTATATGTAATAGTGTTTACTTTTGTTGTCTGTATCTCTTGTGCACCTCTTTGTGTCTACTTTTTCTTTAGTGATATTTTGCTGGTCTACTACTATTTGTATATTGTCTTTCCCTTCACCCATATTCATACATATCTCTTACCTGCTTAGTAATTTTTCCTCTCTTCCCTTTCCACTACTGATAACCATCAAAGAATGTTTCTTTCCATGTGCAAATTTTTCCTTGAATTTTTATAATAGAATAAATATTATATTATAA